GGGTGTGGGCCTCCGGTGCGTGCAGGTGTAGCTCCTCAAGCGTCTCGGTGATCACATCGAGGCCGACGGAGTGGAGAGGTTGGACGGCGGCGGGAACCTGCGCCAACTCTCCCTCCATCGTAATGATGAAGTCCAGGTTCCTAAAGTGCACGTGCGCACCTAGGACCTAGCTGATGCCATGACTAGCCATCCGAGGCCTAATGTGGACATTGAGATGCGCAAAAAGCCCTACCTGGCGCACCAACTGTCGGTGTTTTCGGACCACCGATGAGTAAATTTGTATTCGCGCATCTGGCTCGAATGGTGTGCTCGAAGGACACAAGGTTTTATACTAGTTCGGGTGGAACGTCCCTACATCCAGTTCGCTGCTTCTCGTGTTACCGGCACTTGGTTTGTAGTAGGGGTTACAAACAGATGAGAGAGGGAGAGGATCCCAAGTCTCTAGTGGAAGGAGTGAACGGGTGCTGAGAGCTCGCTTGCCGCTCAGTCATGTGCTCATGTCACACTCTTGTGTTCTGATCTCTCAGCGTGGGGCGCCCTACTTCCCCTTTTATAGGCGAAGGGAAAGCGCGGGTTACAGAGGAGGAAAAGGAAAAGAATGAGAGAGAGAAGAAGGCTTCCAGGGTTGCCAGGTCCTTCTCCTTCATGTGGGTCCCGCTGATCCTACAGATGTCAATAGGGATGACTCTATGTCATGGCCCTGTTCATCACTAGCACCATGCGTAGGCGTCATCTGCTAGTCATGGCGTTCCACTTCGTCCCGACGGACATCATGGTGAATTGACGTGTATGTGAGCATCCGTACGAGAATTAGGCAGAATAGCACTGACACGTCCGACACTGTTCTTGATGTGAATCCCCAGGTATGGCCCATCATGGCCATGGTTTACATCGAGGCATGCCAGCCTCTTCCCTAACGTCAGAGTTTTGACCCAAGCCCATACGTTTGGACCTAGAGTGGTTGGCGGCGGTATGGGTCCCCATCGGACGAGACAGAACCCGCGTCCTTGAGGTCGGGCGAGATGGAGCCTGCAACCTTAGGCAAGACGAAGCCTGCACCCAAGGGGTCGGGCGAGACGGAACCCACATCCTTGGGGTCAGGCAAGACGGAGCCCACACCCAAGGGGTCAGGTGAGATGGAGCCCACAGCCTCAAGGTCAGGCGAGATGGAGCCCATGTCCTTGAGGTCGGACGAGATGGAAACCGCGTCCTTGGGGTCGGACGAGACGGAAACCGCATCCTTAGGGTCGGGCGAGATGAAGCCTGCACCCAAGGGGTCGGGTGAGACAGAGTCCGTGGCCTTGAGGTCGGACGAGACGGAGCCCGTGGCCTTGGGGTCGGGCGAGACCTTTTAATACGTCTTGAGCCATCGGGGAAGTCAGCGTGGGCGCTAACTTCCTTGCTTTGGGTATCCCTAATATCGATACCCAACAATATCTCACTTGATACTCACATATCTCTCTCCTTGAGCTTCGTACTCTCCTCCACTGAACTCATGGCCAATAGGTACCAAGAAGACCCCTTGGGAGGGCATTTGTAGCCTAAACCTTAGGAGAGATCCATTGGTAAACAATACCAAAAGTGCTTCAACGTTCACCTACAAAACACCTAGGTCACATAGTCTGCTCAAAACCACCGGACCGTCTAGTGTGTTCATTTGCACAGTGCACCTCCAACGTCTAGTTCCGACACCCCAATGGCTAACCGACGTCACTTGTCCACATAAAAGTCTGGTGCTTACATTCATCTCATCACCAGAATGTTCCTTGCTCACTTCTACATAGTCACACTTCAACAGTCAACACCTTAAAGTCAATTATCTAGCGCTCACAAAGTCACTTGGCCAGATTATACATTGAATGCATTTCAACAGTGCCATCAAAACCTAGCCTCTATTACTATGTATTTGATTGTCGATGCTCACATACCTCAACGTATAGATGGCCAGATGGCAAAGGCCAATGGGCATGGGCCATAGCCTATCATTTAGGCCTAGCCTAGGCATGACATGGCCCAATGACTACCGTTCCCATGTTGGCCCGTCCCTATGGGAGGCTCGTGCCTGGGCTGCTTCCTCGGCACGACGCGGCTCGATTAGCGCACACATATATAATCTCTTCTCAACCCTATTCTCCAGAACCCTATCCATCCATACCTCGCTATCAATATGGCAGCAACGAGGCCAACTACATCCACCGTTGGTGCGAGGCAGGCCCTTGGGATGGCCCAACCCAGCTAAACTCTTCTAGGGTCGTGCCTAGGCCGAAGACACACAGCCCATGGGCAGGCACTGCACAACACGATCTGCTACTATGACCATGCCGGCCAGACCCCTGTCGGGTCGTGCCTTGATCAGGCCCATGTCATGCGGACCAGGCGGTCTGTTTGGCCATCTATACCTCAGGGTCAAACTATTTGTTGCTTTAATTTAAATAGTAATCTTCTCACGTAAGTATTGGTTCGCTGTACTTTTGTCTAGAGTTGGCTTTTTCCTTAGCATTGAACCATCCACTATGTGCACTTTCTTTGGGTTCACTTCTAACATGTTCAAATGAACTCCTATTGAGGTGAAACTTGTTATGTTGGATTCCTTATTGCACCACCATGTTTTTCTCGATCATGTGTTCATCAAGATTGCACCAACATGCACACTGAAACATCTAGTTGAGCATTTTCATGCTTGTCTCCCCTTGTTGGTGATCCTAACTCTTGGAAAAAAAAGGTCTTGAATCCTTGAGTCTTCGCTTGCAACACTTGAATCCACGATGACCCACTTGATCTTGAGTCCCCGATTGCTTTCGCTTGACTAATTGATTGATCTCCTTATTCAATCTTGAATTCTTTGATTGTCTTCTCATCAACCATTGGGGATGCCTTCATTCTTCAAGCATTGTGGCCTAGTGTTAGCACTTAATCTTCCAATCCATACACTAGCCACACATGCAAGTGTTCCTCAATTCGCTTCTTCATTAATGCTTGAAGACACTTAGGGCATTCATAGCATAAGAATTTCATTGACCTTAAGTCCCAGCTGGCACTTCAAAGGTTGATCATATATGGAATAGACAGCGATCTTACCAAAAAAACAAGAGACTGGGCCTTATGCATAAGACCCAATCCTATGGAGAAAAAAGATCAAATGATGTGCAATGTGCCAATGAATGAAACCAGATCGGATATAGGTGGATATCAGTGATCCTATATTCTCACTACACCAAAATGGAAATTCCTTGGAGGGTCCAAGATTTCCTTGAGTGCCAAAATCCAACCGCCAAGAAATTTATCATTTCCTTGGGGGTTGTAGTAAACCGCCAAGGAAATTTGTATCCTTGGCGGTTCCACTCGGCCTCTAAGGAAATATGCAACTTTTCTCAAGTACTGTTGTGAACCGTCAAGAAAAACACCATTTCCTTGATTGCTATTGCAAACCGCCAAGGAAAACATTTTTTTAAAATCAATATTTTTTATGAATTTTCTAAATGATCTCGGATGGAGAAATTACCTAAACCAAAGTTGTAGTACTTGAAAAGATTTAAAACTTTTCCATTCAAACTTTTTCATTTGAATTTGTTTAGGGTGTCAAATATGCATAACAAAATTCACTGGACTGAATACAGATGCAATGCATTAGCTATTCAGTCACTAATGGTTTCGAGGTGCAGTGGTAAGGAAGTAACTACATGAGAAACTTGAGGTCACGAGTTCAAAAACTTAGTAGACGCAGGGTTTTGAGATTTGTGAACTTTTTTTTGACATATTTTCTTGGTGGTTGATATATTTCCTTGGCGGTTAGTCACTCCCAAGCTGACTCATTGTCTTGTCATCTTGGCAATCTAGTGTATGTCCATATTTTTCTTGGCGGTTGGCAGTCAAGAAAAACTTCCCTGAGGGCTAGCCGGCAAGAAAATTCTATTTTCTTTGCCATCTAGTCTTGGTGGTTCATGCTTGACAGTTGTCTATCAATAACTATTTCCTTGACGGTTTTTCTATGTTCCTTGGAGGTTTTTGGTGGCCAAGGAAATTTCAGTTGCGTCGTAGTGTTGTCTCCCATATCCACATTCTATCCCATATTTTTTTCTCGAATCGATCATGTCGGTATATATATATATATATATATATATATATATATATATATACCGAAATCCGATTTTGATTATTCCAATTTGGATACGGCAGGGTGAATTGTTTTCTCCTCTCAAGCCGGACCCTCCTTATAGCCGAAGCTGGTCTCAAACATAGCAGCTTCCGACCTTATATTTTGTGGACCCTGCCTTAAGGCCGGTGGTGGTCTCGCACGCTAGGGATACCCTTATTCATCTTCATGTTTTGTGACCCAATCTGTTTCTCAAACACACACACACACACACACACACACGTTAATTAGTCACAAAAGCAATGGTTTCATTAACCACCGAAATGTCAGGAACTACCATCAGATGGACCTCTGGTATGGGCCACAGGCCTTCGGCCCACACAACAAGCCACAGCAGCAACTATGTACCTGAGAGGAGGAAGCATCAAGAGGATATCGAATCATGTATCAAACAACTGAATACTTCTCCTAGGCTACTATTCTTCTTCCTTCCCAAGTCTACCTTCCTCTGTACCCGGTTTCCCTTATTCTCTTCTCCGACCTCCCTTTCCCCTGAGGTCCTGTACTCTGAATTGCTGTGAATCAAGTTATCTGTGAACCAGCCCAGTTGGGTTGCTAACACGAAATCAAACTACTAACTAAAGGGTATAGAAGCTCACAATGTCATACATTTTAATAGGCGCAATGACCAATCAAGCAATTAGCTTGATGTTGATGCCTAACCAACAAACCTCCAATCGATTGGATCTTCTCCTTATTTTTTATTGGGACTGATGGTGATTTCTATTACTCCATGTTATCTTCTCCTAGTATAAGAAGACGGTACCTGAAATGAAAACCTTCAAGTGTCAACTGGCCACTATTATCTCTCAGCATTTCTGCAGGAAGGAGAGGATTCAGATCGTCAATGGCGCACGCGAAAGCAGGAGCGTCTCTGCCGGTGCCCAACGTGCAGGCACTCGCTCAGACTTGGCATGGATCAGGCGAGCCGGTGCCTGTCCGGTACGTCAGGACAGAGGAGATCGGCGCTGGGGAGGTCGTCGCCGGCTGCGCCATCCCGGTCGTGGATCTCAGCAGGTTGCTTGACCCGCGGTCGTCCGAAGTGGAGCTCGCAAACCTCGGCTCTGCCTGTCAGCACTGGGGTTTCTTTCAGGTACGTATACATACGTACATCATTGGTCATACATTTGCCATGTTTTGACCAGCTTGATTAGACACTATACAGCGTAAAATCACGACGCGCCCGCTGCTTTTGCACAGCTTATCAACCATGGGGTGCCCGACGAGGTGATCCAGGACGTGAAGAGAGACATGATGGAGTTCTTCAAGCTCCCGCTGGAAGCCAAGAAGGTGCACGCGCAGGTACCGGGCGGCCTGGAGGGCTACGGCCAGGCCTTCGTCTTCTCCGAGACCCAGAAGCTGGACTGGGCGGACATGATCTACCTCATGATCAGCCCCAAGGAGTCGCGGGACCTGAGGTTCTGGCCCACCCGGCCTCCCTCCTTCAGGGACTCCGTCGACAGGTACTCGGCCGAGACGGCGAAGGTGACGGCGTGCCTGCTGCGGTTCATGGCCGCGGACCTGGGCGTGGAGCAGGAGCGCCTCCTGGAGGCGTTCCGGGGACAGCCGCAGAGCATGCGAACGACCTACTACCCGCCGTGCAGGCAGGCCGCCGATGTGCTGGGCCTGTCGCCGCACACCGACGCCACCGGCCTGGCGCTGCTCCTCCACGTCAACGACGTGCAGGGCCTGCAGATCAGGAGGGACGGCAAGTGGCACGCCGTTGACCCTCTCGACGGCGCTTTCGTCGTCAGCGTCGGCGACATACTGGAGGTATATACTGGTAGGTATATACGAGCTAGAGATGCTGATAGGCACAGGCAGTTGACCCAAATACTCTTATCTTCATCAACTCGTGAGCACAGGCAGTTGACCCAAATACTTTTATCTTCTTCAACTCGTGAGCATTTGCTGCTTGCAGATTCTAAGCAACGGGAGGTACAGGAGCATTGAGCACAGAGCCGTGGTCCACCCGGACAAAGAGCGCATCTCGGCGGCGATGTTCCATCAGCCGTGCCCCAACACGATGGTCGGCCCTCTGCCGGAGCTCGTGAATAGAGACAGTGGCGGGGCGCGGTACAGATCCATGGACTACATGGATTTCATGAAGAACTTCTTCGCGTCCAAGCTCGATGGACGGAGGAGCCACATGGACGCTATGAGGATCTACTAGTCCAAATGTTGGCTGGATCAGCCGACGACTATATATGCTGGTCTCCTGATCCTGTCTTCCTGATGAACAGGATTACTAGTAGTATAGTGCTAAAAGATCTCTCATGATGCATTATCTCTGAAAAATTAAGAGGATTTTGTGATTGCATATATTAAAATGGAACGGGCACTGCATATTTCGTTCTACAGCCGTCTGTTACATGACTTGCCCATGATCGTGACGAACTTCCACACTGAAACCAAAACTAGCCTGAAGTTTCAGAAGTTACTATAGCTAGAGTGTTCACTTCGCGGACTCCGCCAACCAACATGAAATTCTACTAAAATCATCACAATCTAAACAGGTCATGTGCATTTGCACCTTGAAAGGGCAGTGTAGAGCCACAAAAACTTCTATAGCATTACAACACGGTTGACTTGTGTTACATATAAGATGTCTGGAACTCGACTGCACAGTAATGTATGTATCTTTCTGAGAATCTCAATAGTCAGTGAACCGTCTGGCCCAATTCCAAACCAAGTCAATTTGCTTCGATTACATTCACAAAACTGCAATGTTGTTGGTAAGAAATCTAAGGAACAATACAGACATCAAGTGATAGATTATCACAGGGGGACTGCACCTGTTAAGGTTTGTCATTACAAAAGAACAAAACCATGCCACACGAAGTTGGATTTTTTCTAGAAATTTGTGCAATGGTTGCAAACAAGCATGGCCAGAGCCAGGGAAGAAAGACTTGTGGCCCCCAAATTACAAAGCAACTATTCAATGTCCCAAACATGCTTCGGTCCAACAGTAGACAATCTTTCAAGAACAAACCAATTTTATTCAACTTTCCTGGGTTCTGCTCAGGGCTTCCAGAGACCAAGACGGAACTTGTGAGCAAAACTCAAAATCAACTTTCTCTGCATTGTAGGGGAATAATTAACAATTTAGATTAGCGCAGATACTTGTTCTCACTCTTAAAAATAATTCTTTAAAAAAAATACAGAACTAAACAGAAAAACATATTTCAATCAAGACAAAAAAATGTTTGCGATCAAGACCTAACATGTCGTAATCCACCAGTAAATGTTAGCAACAAGTTAAATAGATTTTGCTTCAACCTTGGGTCCAAGTACAACTAGATTTAGTTAAACTTGAATGAATACTTGATTTGTACCTAAGTACAGACAGATTTGTTTAAACTTGATTTAGAGACTAAAGTAAAACCGAATGTTTCAGAAATCTTAATTTTGTCAGATACATGGATAGGAAGAAACTTGGATATTAAAAGCCTGTTTTTCTGGTAGTTAAATAATGTGTTCTAACCAACTTCTACCTGATTTTTCAAAAATATGAAAAATGTATTTAGAGAAACAGTATAGATGCTGTTTTCCAAAGTCAACACTATCCCAATGGAACAAAAACTTAAAACTAGCATTTTTAGAAATAAAAAAACAGTATGTACTAAACCAAAAAACTTTCGGCAAGGTACGCATACAGTTTTAGATGCTAAAACCTATCTTCCTAAACCAATTAATCCAAAACCAATTGAAAAGTTCATGACCCAAACAAGGCAATCTAAATATGTTCACTAACTTTAAAACATCAGTAGGTCCACATCATGTAACTGTAGTTGCTACTACTACAATTATTGCTCACAATATTACTTCAGAACTCAAAAAATCTCACAAACAATGGCAATGTAAGTGAGGAGGTGCTAAATCTCATCAACAAAATTATAAAGTAGTGCATTTCCTTTCTCTGTGGGTACAGGTAGTCCGTTTCCTTGAAAACACCCAAAACATCCAAAGGAATACCCCACATATTTCAGTCTGCAAGAATTTAAGTGACTAAAGCGATGAGCTTATTGCCTTGTGGTTAAAAGTGAGAGCAATGAAAATGACTAGCACGTTGTTTAGAACTCAGTGTTTCAATTCTAAGACCATCGATGCCATGATGTGTCTTTCAAATTCAAGTTTAAGTTCCTAGTGCTAGAAACCAAAATACATGGAAATTTCTCAGACACTGATGTTATTGACTTTCATATGCTTCAAAAACACCATTATGCAAGCCCAGATTGGCCATGGTCATGCACATGCACTCATGGACATACACATGAACGAAAATTCACCTCAAAGTGGCAGTGCAACAGCACAGCACATTCTTGGCATTCATATATTCCTTACGAAAATATTGAATACAAAAATTGGGTCATGTGCACTCTCAAGATATCATAGGTCATAGCAATAAAAACATTAATTGAAAAACTAACTGGATAACTTGAACTGAAAAAAAAATGTTCTTAACTTATCACATTTTCATTCATCATTAAGTATTTAATAAAGTTTAGACAATATTAGGAGACCCATACTGATATTGTCGTCTTGTTGGCTAGTCGAGCTTGTGAAGTGATAGGTTGATAGGTTGCAACTAAAAGTATGGCCTAGTTTTTAGTGATTTTAACCCCAATTAGCCAAAAAAAAACCTCTCAGAAGCAGAATGTCCCATTAGCTTCGTTTTTTCATTACAGTTTTTCAGCTTTCCCCATTACAGTTTTTCAGCTTTCATGGCCGCTCGTTAGATATAGGATATAAAACAACGTAAGGGATACCACTGGAACAAAATAATCACCACAAATTAGGCTTGGCTAATTTGTCCTAAAAGCATGTTAAGTTCAACTATAAACATGCAAATTGCCTCACATGTTAGGCAACCTAGCTATATCAAGAGAAGTAATTCATATGTCAACAACTCAAAAACACAGCAGCAACTCTCCTCACTAACATTTGACAACAATCTACAAACTCAGAATGGATGCAACAATCCAATAATTGTACAGCAGCAGAACTGCCATATACAACAAAACACGATCAATCCCAACATTTCCATGACGAAATGCCAAGAAAACAAGTCACTACATCTACATGAGCAACTTGCTTGTAGAGTATAGACTACAAGTGGCACAAGAAGAGAAATCAGAGCCTTACATGCTTGCAGGGGATACCGAGCTTCTTGAGCCGCAGCGTGCGGGCCTCGAGGAGCCTCTGGAGGTCGCCTCCCACAGCCTCCTCCAGCTTCGCGGCGTGCGCCTCCACCCCCTTCCCGACGCCGTTCAGGAACTCCACCACGCCGACCTTGGCTGCGCCCCGGAAGGAAGGATCCGATTCCAGTCACGAAAAAGAAGCAGCACGGGAATTGTGACGGAGGTCGGGGAGGGCGTACCTTGGTAGGGCTGGGCGTGGAAAGATCTCGCCGGGCCGGCGAGGAGGAAGCGGCGCGCGTGAGTGGCGCACGCGAGAGCCATGCGATGGAGAGAGAAAGAGACACTCGAGAGACGGGCGGAGGCCTTCTGGCGGCGGTGAGAAGAGCGCAGCGCAGGGGGAGTGCACGGTAGGGTATAGGCAGGAGGTGCCCGTGCGCCGCCGGCCGCCGCCCTGGAGAGTGCACGGTAGGGTATAGGCAGGGGGAGTCCGCTTGGATGGAAAGGAACGGAACGCCTCTCCGCTCTCCGCCTCGTGCCTCCGTGGCCTTTCCACGCTGCCCAGTTCGGCCCAACAGACAGAAGCAGGCCGTAGGTCCAGCTGGAGGCTTGAGGCTGGCCTGCCATGGACTCGAATCTTCATTTTTCTTCAGTGCTCAAAAAAATACTTTAGCAATGAAGTAGCACTAAACAACAGCGTTGGATAGACTAAACAAAATTTGTAGGTTAATTAGATTTGTGCCATTATAATTTTACAGTGGAACTAAGAAAACCGGACCAACGCCATTGCATTCGTGCTGAAATTTAAAATACGTCTATATCTACACTCGAAGGCACCTTGTGCCCACAGCCATGCATATTGAGGCATATTGTATATCCATATGGACCATTTTGCCCTCGGCCACGAGTGGATAAGGTCTAGACGGTGCATGCTCCCCATTCTATCTTCCTCTCCCTTCCTCCATATCCTTGTTGTCCTGCTGCCCCATTCCGCCACCGGTGCCGTACTTCCCCATTCCACCATCGGTCTCCTCCTTCGCCATCAGCTTTCGAACTTACCGATGATAAGCAGTGCCATGGCCATGACGAGCGTTGTCGTGAACTCTAGCTATTCTATAACACTCGAGGCCCTTTCTCGGATTGACTATCCCAAGTGCCACATCAAGGTGATTAAGTGCAAGAGCATGAATTATGTGGTGTTCCACAAGTGCCTGACAATTTTAGGGTGATTTGGATTTCATTTTCTAGATCCATTTTTGTCCCCGCTTTCTGAATTTAATTGATGCCATGTTGATTCGTGTCACAGAATGACAATTCTAGTTCTTACTACCGATATGAAGATGCCTATGTGGAATACTTGCGCTCCAATCATCGACACCTGTTGCAAGCTGATGCGGAAGTAGTAGCGGCAATAGATGTGAATGGAAACTTGAAGATGTTGTTCATGGAGATAAAGTTGCTACTAAGTGAGATGAAGGTGCAGATTGGTGAAGTGTTTCTGAAGATAAACATGGTTAATGGGGAGAACAAGGCTGCCATCGTTGTGGACAAGTTTGAAGCTACTATTTTCGTGTTTCTAGTTACTGGATTGGTCGATGTTGTCATGCTCAAGTGAAGTTGTAATTGTAGTTGGGTTAATGTTAGTGCTAGTTGCCAGGTTAATCGACTATATCAGGTTAAGGTTAGTTAGTTTGAAGTTGTTATGTCAATGCTTGATTAACCCTCGAGACGGTAAACAATTTTGTGCGTGAAGTTTTAGTGTGCTGATACACTATCTAGATTGAAGTGATATGTTTTTTAATGAAAATGTTCTCGTTGTTAGATGATTGACTTCAATTTGACATGTGTAATGCTACCTCTGTTGAACATGTGTACTGAAATCTCCCTTGCACATCATAATTGACCCAGCCATTTTCAATGTACAAAAGGTAAATGTTTGTCAACATGATAAAAAAAGCACCATTTTTAGGTGCACCTACTTAACATTTTCACTTAAAAACATACTCACTTAGCATATCTCATACATACTTAACATGTTCACTTAAGTGGCATGCTCACTTAGCATATCTCCCTTGTACATACATACTTGAGAGACTAACAAAAGTTTAGATAACTTGTTACAAATTCATCAGTGATCTAAGACTCGATGTCTAGCCAACTCTTCAAGCTTTTGACCACTCTAGGTTTAGATGCACTAGTAGCCTTCTTTTGCTTCTTCTTCATAGGTGTCTTCTTATTCTTTGGAGTCTTCTTCATCTTGCTATTTTCCCTTTGTAAACTATTCATTGTGTTGTGCACTTTGGCAACTAGACGTAGCCCACTATGCGTAGGGTGTTAGCCGTGTGTTTTGAACCATTTAGCGTTGGGTTGTGGGATAAGTCGTTATCGAGTACAAAGCTAATTCCACAAAAAAATGTATGCAAGAAAAGTAATTAAAGTAGATTTTTAGTTTGCTGCTTTCACTTCTTGATGTCGTTTTTCCATTGTGAGTTCTCCATTGCTTTATGAACTTTGCTGACTAGACCTTAGCATCTATACTTAGTGCAGGACCCTAGAAATGATTAGGTGTAGGTCGTCGTTCAGGACAAAACTTCACACTCAAAACATACCACTTAGGTACTTAAATCGCAGAGAGAAGAACAAACATGCACCTTAGTGCACCTGTTAGGTGTAGCACCCAACTTTCTACTAAGTTGGAGGCCAACTTAGTAGAAACTTAGAGGACATATGTAACACAAAGAAGGCAGTTATGTAAGTGATTTGGCTATTTTGATGGCTAATAACATTGTTATCGGTGGCGACATTGTCAAGGATGTCATGACCAACTTGGGTTGAGCCTGACGACCATTTTTTACGGTGGCATGCCTGAGTGGTCGGGCCTGGCAATTCTGTCAACAATAGCGATGATGTCGGCGGTAGTGTGACCGACTCAGGTTGAGCCCGCAACATTGTTGATGACATAGTGCCCAAGTGATCGAGCCTAGCGATGTTGTCGATGATGAAGACATTGTCAATAACGGTGTGACTGACTAGGATGGAACCTAGTGATGCTGTCAACGGCGGCATGCCTAAGTGGTCGAGTCTAGTGGTGCTTTTGGCAATAGTGTGACCAAGTGGTCACTGAGGGACACCAAAAGATGGCAAAAGACATTGAGGGACATCAAGTAACACCGCGAGATGGACAAAGACATCACTGGAGACAAAGTGATGCCATGAGACATCGAGTGATGATGAGAGACACCGCGGGATGTCGAGTGACTTCATGTCACGTCGAGAGATGTTGTGGGATGCTAAGTTACATCTCAGTATATCGAGTGAGTTCGTGTGACACCGAGTGACACCATGCAATGCTAAATGACACTAAAAAATTTCAAGTGATGTTGTGGGGATGTCAATATATAGGTGCCCTGCCGAGTCAATGATGTAATTGTGGCAGAACCACCCGAAATAGCGTACTTACGAAGGCGCTTGTCTTCCATCAGACACAAAGCACCTCGAAAGTAACTACAGCGAGCGGTGTCCGTCGAGCACACCCCAAGGGAGAACCCGAAAGATCCACATTTTTCCCAAGGATCCAATAATGAAAACGAGTTACAACACAAGTCTATCTCATACATTAGAGTTTCTTGAAAAGTACATTATTACAATATCAAATATAGAGTGCGGAATGATAAACAACGGAATATTAAAAGATAACATCTAGCGATAAGATAACGAGGATTCCATCTGAGCCCACCAGATGGATCCTCCACACAAGGAACTCCTCAAGCGTCACCTGCAACAGGGGTAAATAAACCCTGAGTACACAATGTACTCGCAAGACTTATCCGACAGTGGGAATACTTTCCCGACTCTAAGGAATATGCTAGGCTTTATGGTTCTGTGGTTCTCTTTTAGCAAAAAGCAATACTAATAGTGAGTCCTTATTGATACATTATTATCATCACCGTATTAAGTTTTCATCTAGTCAATCTATATAAGCTTTGTTCTACTTTCAAGCAAGAGTTGAGCAAAAGTTCCATTTCTTCTCCTTTCAACTTTCAGTTCTTACTACGGTGCTAAACCGTAGACAAGCTGTCTTAGGATAACCCCGGCGATTCGTGAATCAATGTGCCCTTGTTGGGTGCCCGAAGACACGCCCGCTTGTACCCGTGCACAAGCAGGACTAACCCACCACTCTCTGTCCCGGTGTCCGTGTCCCCGTCAAACTTGGACTCAAGCCCCCACATCCCGAGTCCGGACTCGATGCGGTGCAAGGACCTCCACCACCTCCTCTTCCCATCATCGGTCCGGGAAAGAGCCGGATCCGCGACAAGAGAGCGACAAGCCTTCCCTGCGCCCATACCCAAGTATGTGCTCGGGATAATAATCTGTGACTTGCCTAGAGTCATATGCAACCCACCGGTCCTTAATCGACACAGGGGAAAAAAGTGTAGCGGGCTATGCCCTGTTGGCCGCAGGACACAACCCATCACACCCACCAAAGATTACCAAATCCACATCCCTGTCCGGTCACCATTTTCCTTTCCATTATTTCATCATGATATCACAGTTTAAACACCTATTTGCGAGTATGACGGGTTACTCACGCTCTGACATCCCCGAGCATAGCACTACTCGACCTATACTAGTAGGACTCATGGTGAATATATTTATGCATGTAGCTTCCATAAAATGCCTGTAACGTAAATGCATATCATATAAATATATTCAAATCATTTAAAAATAGGGGTTATGCACTGGGGCTTGCCTTGGGCAGGCGCAGTGTCAGCAAAGTCAGTGACGGGTGGCTTCGGAACGTCCTCCTGCACGAGGATCTCCTCGTACTCTTCGATGACTTCGTCGTACTCCTGCTCACCGAATGTCACGATCTCCAGTGGCTCGTCCTCTATATGCATGCAGTGATGATGATGCAATAATTAATATATAGGCAACCGTAACTCTTAAAATAAGAATACATCTACCAAGCTACTAAGCTAACTCTAATGACTAATACGCAAAGTTACCTATTATTCCCACTAAACAAGTATGAAACATTTCATGTATTATCTTAGCAACTAAAGGCATCCTTATTGTTAATATCAATTTACTATATAAATAATAAAACAAGGTGCACTAGCTACCATGCATCATAAAAATTCATTCTCTAAATAACCATAATAAGCATTTCAAAATAATAAAGTAACCCTAAAGGTATCACTGAACTATACGAACTAATTACACTAACAGATAGATCATGAATTTAGGAATCTAACAAAATTTATTTCACAATCAATAAATAAATTCAAATAAGCTCTAGAGATGAAGAAAATGATATTATTGGA